GGCTTTTTGCATTTGACTGATGGTGATTTTGTCAATTTTTAACTGTTTTAAATGTAATTGCAGTGCTTTATTATTATTAAATTATTATTATTATACAATTGTATCACAGCGGCCAGTTGTTTCGCCGGATTTGGTATTGGTTACTAGTCGGGCCCCATTATTATTATTATTATTATTTTCCATTTGCAGCTCACCTGTTGGTGCAAAATGTATTCGGTTTGACCCGGGAAGATTTCTACAATGGGCTCGGCCATTGTAAAAGTAAAGGTTCCCCCTCGCACATATGTGCTAGTCGTTCCCGACTCTAGGGGGCAGTGCTCATCTCCGTTTCAAAGCCAAACAGCCAGCGCTGTCCCAAGACGTCTCCGTGGTCATGTAGCCGGCATGACTCAATGCCGAAGGCGCACGGAACGTTGGCAGAAGCTGGGACAAGTAACGGGAGCTCACTCCGTAACGCGAGGGATTCAAACTGCCGAACTGCCGAGCTTTCTGATCGACCAGCTCAGCGTCTTAGCCACTGAGCCTTCGGCCATTGTTTATAAGCCACAATTCTTAGCTTGTACATCTATGGGCCCGGGGAAGTGAACTGGTCTTTGAATAACTCTTCTGTATATTCATACTGGGGTGACTTTCTCATCTAGATCTAAAGATCTCAATATATTCCCTTTTTTATTTTTTGGAGAGGTTCAGTAATTGGTTCCTTGGTGTGTTTTCCCCGTATCTGAGACACAGAAAACGATTAATGAAAAGGACTAAGGGGTGACGCAATAGGGGTGTACCAAAATCTCAGGGGCTGCCCCAAAGAAGAGGGAGTCAAGCTATTCTCCAAAGCACCTGAAGGAAGAAGCAGCAATGGGTGGAAACTAATCAAGGAGAGAAGCAACCTAGAATTCAGGAGAAATTTCCTGACAGGGAGAACAATTAATCAAGGGGAAGGACTTATCTTCGGAAGTTGCGAGTGCTCCAATGCTGGAGGTTTTTAAAGAAGAGATTGGACAACACTGTCTGAAATGATATAGGGTTTCCTGCCTGAGCAGGGGGTAGGACTAGAAGACCTCCAAGGTCCCCTTCCAACTTTGTTATTGTTAAGAGAACCATGCACAGAAAGGCTTCTAAGTCTTCCATTTAGAGGGAGGGGGAGAGGATTTTTGAAGACATTTCAAGAGAGATCGGCTGTCCTCCGTTGACCTTGTAGAATAAGAGTTTTTGTAGACCACCTACCCATTTGATCACCCCTTCTTTCATCCCCAAATATTTGCCTAGGGTGGCTCTGAATCGAAGAGGCCACGAATGATTCGATTCCTACCTGCAGCAGGTGCCGGCGGCATCCTTCAACCGTTCCAACCTGGCACGGGATCATAAAAGGCGCAGACCCGGCCTCAGGAGGAGAGGGTGCCCATCTCCCAGGAAGCCAGCCGTCTGCCCATCCCCGCCTGCCCACGGACTGCTCACCTGGGCTAGGACACGTCACTTTAATGCACTAACAGGTAAGGAGGCGGAGTCTGGCATGGCCAGGGCTACTGCAAATAAGCCAAGAACGGCAAGGTTAGGAGCAGAATATTTTCCTCGTGTGGTTGCAGCTCAACTCGGATTCTGGGAGGCCCAGAACTTGGGGCAGAGAGGTTCTTCTAGCATGGTGCAAGACAGATAGTTGGGGGTGCTGAATGCCAACTTTGGAGGTCTCAAGCCCAACTGCAGCTTTTAGCCTTTCTCTGGTTGCGCACGGGGTTTTTTTTTTTTTTTTTTTTTTGAGCATGGACAGGAAGGTGGCACCAAATGCAACCTTCTCTGAAGTTCCGCAGCTTTCTTTTAAGGTGCTGAGATTCCTACATGCCTTCATTTGCAACTCTGGGATACTCACAGGTGGGGCAGTTGTGCTTGGGGGGGAGGGGGGGGGCAAGCGCCAACCCAGGACATAGCCTGAAACCAGGAGCGTGAGGTTTTGATGCTCAAAAGCTGAGGTTCTGATCCATAGATTTGGCTCAGATAGGAAGAACGAGGGAAGACCCAAGGGAAAAATTAAAGAGATTGAAAAGAAAGGGAGAAAGGAAGAGCTGTTAAGTTTAATGTTCTCTTTGGGTCGAGGCCAAGTTGCAAACTGGTTCGCCTAGTTGCTTCTTTCTGAAACTCCCCCCCGCCCCCCCAGCACACACAGACACACAACTACACACACATATATATACACTCTGGTCAATATCAGATTTCATATCTACTTAAGGATTCATTTATTCAACCTCCAAACGTTATGCTTTTTTAACTTTGGCAAACATGATTGTAGAACAAAGGAATGACGGACTTTCTCAGGCCAACGAGGTAAAGTTGAAGAAGACAATGGGGTCTACGGGGACATTTTGCCCACTTTAAATGGCACCTTTTAGGGAGAAAATGTAGCTGTGTGGTCGCTAGGAAAGAGATCTGACGACACGATCAATCAATCAATGCCACGTGCCGTGGAACGCATCAAAACAGAAGGAACATCAGATTCCGGGCTTATAAATATATAGCTTTATTTTTATTTTGAATATTAAATAAGGTTCTTTAAATTACAAGCAGCCTCGGATCACACTATGCATGATCAATATACAGTAGAAATCTTTAACAGTTTTAAAATTTACACACAGTTTAAAGATAAATTCGACCTGGAATTTAATTAGCTAGCATATTGCCACGAACCTCATCGCTGTATTAAACCCCCAATCGGAAAAAGGTTCTCCCCTATGATTTTTGTTACATAAACTTCCTGATGTACAAATAGAATAAAACGTCATATATATACACAGAATTGAAACAGCTCTACCATCACCCCACCATTGTGCAAGATCAGACAAATGGCTAAACCGGACGACTTAAATTCATTCAAGTTTTAACTGAATAATAATAATAAAATAAAACAAGATAAAAACCAGGCTGTGGAAACAGAACTTTTTGTTACCTGCTCTTCATCAAATGTTTCTCCTCTAGCATATTTCCTGAAAGACATTTTAATTTTCTTTTCTCTCTCTCTCTCTCTCCCTCTCTCTCTCTCTCTCTTCAGAAGTCAGTAAAGCTGAGGCCATTTTATTATTAAGGCTATTTCTTCCAAAGCAGTCTACAAAAAAAAAAAAGGAAAAACAAAATCTGCATACTAATTAATCTAAAACAGTGTTTAAAATGTACACACAGGCAGCTTTCATTAGTGTCATTTTTAAAAAAAAAATCATTTCCAAAAAAAAAAAAGAGCAGCATTTATTTATAAAGGACGGAACTCGGAAAGGATTTTAGCCATTAAAAGCCTAACTGCAAATATTGGACGGGGATGGTGGCTTTCCCTAGAATGGGGACCGTTAGTGCTACTGGTCCTTTGCCTCCCCCCATTAAAAAAAGGTTGACGGACTGGTTTATCTTGGGAGCTTATGAGCCTTCCTGAAATTGCGTTCTTAGGGATCGTTCTAACAGCAGCTCTACTGTAAAAAAAAAGCATTCGACTATGTAAGAGAGCTGATGTCAAGATACCCAAGCTTGACGTATCTGCTTTTCAAGCTACTCCAACGAAAAGTCCAGGTTGCAAGGCTCCTGATCCCACCTACATTTTAGTGCAAACGGCCATCCACCAGCACCTGCTCTCTGAATAACCCCCTTAAGTTATCCTGGAGAACCTCAAAAAAATAGGGCCAACAGAAAGTCAATCATCTCCACACTGGTACAACATACACACAATATATATGTAGACACGCAGGGATCTCTGCTAAGTTATTCAAAGGAACAGGTCATGGACTGAAGGTGGGCTGAGCTGGGGTAATGGGAAGGGACAGAAAAACAACAATTCTGAAGTCTAAAACAGGAGGGTGATTCTGGCTGACCAAAGGCAGTCACTTCCGGACATCTGCTAGTTTTGATGTCCTGCAGAAAATGGGCATTACGCTAAACAGAACTGCTTCTTCTAAGCAAATGCACCAAATTTGAACCTGCTCCAATTCTCCAAATGTGGCCAGATCAATCAGGGAAATTATAGTGCAAAATAACAACAACAACAACAACAATAATAATTCAGGAGGCTCATGTAATCTGGCTGTGATGATATATAAGTCAATCTTCCAGCGATTTATTAAGAAACTTGGACAAGGAGGGATGGATTTGGGAAGCTGAGGGGATACCACCTCAGCTATAAAAAAAAAGCTAATGTGGGACTTTCAATAGTTCATACTTTTAATTTGAAAAGCTTGAATAACTAAAGAGGCTCACGTATATTTCAAGCACAAGGAAAGGATTTCTGGCGCAGCCTGGGGCATGGTGTACCGGGAACTCTACCTTTTCGATGAAACAGTTGCCCCAGGCTTATCCAAAAATAGGCCTCGTATTAACATTTAGACATGGGATTAAAGTGAAGTGAAGTGAGGTGAGGGGCAAGGCAACAGGAAAACGCCCCCAAGAATCTGGAGAAAAGCCTGTAATGTAGGATGCATGTTGGGTCAAATAGTCAATTGCAAGACTCCAAAATGAAGGGAATGCCAACATCCTCTTCCCTCAGCCTTGCTGAATGGTGTTCACCACTAAGGTGTCTTCTGCCCTGAAGGGAGCGTTGATCTCCACGTATTTGAAAGGTGTCTCTGGGGACAGTTGCCACAAACGATGTCCAAATTCCTACCACACAAGGCCAAGACCCAAAACGAGAGTTGAGGAGGCTCAGTTTTGAGTTCTCTACGTGTCGTCATCTGATAGAAGAGGTCTCACTTCAGACTGCAAGTTTCTCCAAGAACGGAGAAGACCAGATCCGAGGCTGTCAGTTAAGAAGGAATTCGGTGCCTGGAGAAGTTGGATCTGTCAAGGACCACCAGGTCAAGAGCAGAGCTCTCAAAAGACATGTTGGCAGGTGCTGAAGCAGAACCCAAGAAGCAAAAACGATTCTCAAGATGCTACTGTTTTTGGGGGAGTCCTTAAGATGCTTACACATCGATGCTCTACCACTCCCTGGCATGTTTCACGCATGACCGCTTCTACCCTTCGCATAGCTTCCAAGAACTAAGACAGGTGGAAGGCTAAAAACATCCATGTTTCTTTCCAGTCCTTCCTTACGGTGTTTTTCTTTTTCCTTTTCTTTCATTCTAGTTCAAGAAATTCGTCCTTTCAGCAGCTCGTTTCGCACGACGACCCGAACGCTTCACAAATTGGTTGTTAGCCTGTTCTTCCCCTACCGAACTATGGGTGCAAATTACACAAAGCAGCACAAATGCTTGTTTTTAGCACGAGAATATGTTTTTAAAGAGAGAAAGAGAGAGCTGTTTTACTGAGAAGCAAAGCTGTTTGCCCACATAAGGCTTAACAAAAACTGTGCTTGTCACAAGTGGGACCTTCTCCTATTTTGGAGGAGATAGGCTTACACAAAGTTGACTGGAGCTCAAAAAAGACACTCAAACCTCAGGGTTGAATGAAAAACTGCCTACTAGCCCACACCTTGCAGCTTGCATCCTGAAAGGCCTTAAGTTTCAGAACTCACGCGAGAGAAAACTTTACATCAGCCATGGAAAAAAATCGAAGACCTACTGAGGATTGTTGTGATCCATGCTCAATTTTTAACAACCAGAAAGACCCCAGGAGCCCAAATTTGTTAAAACTTTTTTTTTTTAACAGGTGCTTGACTTCAACAAGGAAGATCACTGGTGGCAGAAGGGAAGCAATCTTCTATCTGACTGCGACCAGAAACATGGACGGATCCTTAAAAGTTGGCATGGATAATGTCAACAGTTGGCATGGACAATGTCAACTTACAAGTTGTCCAGTAACCAAGAAGATTGTTTGGACAGGGATGCACCATGAGCATGCTGCAGACAAACAAACACACACACACACACACCAAAACCTCAGACAATTTGCCCTACAAAAAACCAAGGAAAACCCCCAAACCAGTTCACCATCACCATTTTTAGCCAACCGCAAATAAAAATAAGTCAACCAACCCCCATTAATTGCAAGTGAGGATTAACTTCCTTTCTCTCTCCAAGTGGGTGGCCCTTTTAGATACACGAGCAGCAGCGCGTAAAAGTGGCAGATATCCTTTAAAAAAAAAGAAAACAATAAACGGGATGACTCAAGTTCCGTATTCTCCGACGAGTCGATCCATGGAAAGAGACCCACAGGAGTAAAATGAAACCCATTTAAATAAGCCGGTACTACAACTCCCATTGGTCCGGAATGCTTTGTACAGTGCAAAGGGACTCGGCAAGGACACAACTAGCACGGCTACAGCTAAGCAATGAGCGAAACCTGCGAAACATGGCTTGCTACACAACAGCTCTCAGCCCGATCAAGGAATGTAGTATATCTGCAGCTCAACTATATACAATTTTACACATTCGTACAGATAATACATGGCTACCACGCCCCCTCCTCAAAAAAATAAAAATAAAAAATAAAGTATATTACAATCCTATATATAAACCAGAACATCGCCATGGTACAAATCATCTGGAGGATTATTTCAAGTACTGGAAGAGAGCTAGCATAGGGAGGTGTGGCTTTTCAAAAATAGTACGCTGGAATGGAAATACACCCATTCCAAATTCTGCTCCTGCCTGCGTGTTTCCACAGCAGGCCTTCAACTTAAGATGCGACTTTCCTTCTTCTTCTTCTTTTCAATGGCTCTTAGTCCAAAGCGGAGGTATTCCCCACAATCCCCACGACCGACCGAGAGACGCTTCAGTTCTTAATCTTTTTCTCCATCTTCACTGCTCCCTGTTGAGGAAACAAAAGTGATTGCAATTACGAATAACTTGGGGAGAGTCTGCTTGAAGGACGCTCTAAGCTAGCGTTGCTCAACTTTGGCCACTTGTAAGATGCGTGGACTTCAACTCCCAGAATTCCCCAGCCATTCTGGGAGTTGAAGTCCACACGTTTTAAAGAGGCCAAGGTTGAAAAACATTAGCTTAAAACGTTGGGGTTTTTTTAGGTCTACTTTGTGGGTGGCAATTTCTAGCAGACTAACTGAATCGAAAGTGGGGAGAATCTTTACCTGCGGAAAAGGTGTGTTTGCAGGTACCCGCTCCGTATGGATGTTACACCTGTTTTCCCCAAGGGTTAGAATCGTGTTTTTTCTCCCCCTTCTTTGCAAGGGACATTCTGGTGTACAAGGCAGTGTTCTCCACCTCCTATTACAAAATTGGGCACACCTGCAAAGTCTCCCAAGCACAACTGTCTACATCACACACTTCAATGTCACCGCTGGGGAGACATCAAAGAAAGCTGCCCTATGAGTTACCGGCTAAAACAAGCAAACGGCTTATCTAATCAGCATTTTGGGGCCAAGTGCAAACAGTGTTTCTTGGGGGAATTGGAGCGCGGACCCAAACACTGAGTGCCAGGCCATTTACACAGGGGAAAATAAATATGTCCCGGTTCTGTGTTTTAAAAACATGAAAATCAGCCAATGAAGAGCCTGCCCTGGGGTTTCATTCTTCCAGACGATTAGCCGGACACCCATCTGGTGTCCTACTAGCTCCTCCTCCTCCTTCTTCCTCTTCCTCCTTCTTTCTTCCTTCTTCTTTTTCTTCCTCCTCCTCCTCCTTTCTTCTTCTTCTTCCTCCTCCTCCTTCTTTCTTCCTTCTTCTTTTTCTTCCTCCTCCTCCTCCTTTCTTCCTTCTTTCTCCTCCTCCTTTCTTCCTTCTTCTTTTTCTTCCTCTTCCTCCTTCTTTCTTCCTTCTTCTTTTTCTTCCTCCTCCTCCTCCTTTCTTCTTCTTCTTCCTCCTCCTCCTTCTTTCTTCCTTCTTCTTTTTCTTCCTCCTCCTCCTCCTTTCTTCCTTCTTTCTCCTCCTCCTTTCTTCCTTCTTCTTTTTCTTCCTCTTCCTCCTTCTTTCTTCCTTCTTTTTCTTCCTCCTCCTCCTTCTTCCTTCCTTCTTTTTCTTCCTCCTCCTCCTTTCTTCCTTCTTCTTTTTCTTCCTCCTCCTCCTTCTTTCTTCCTTCTTTCTCCTCCTCCTTTCTTCCTTCTTCTTTTTCTTCCTCCTCCTCCTTCTTTC